AAACCCAGGAGGAGCCCACCTTGGCAGGCTTCTGTGTACAAGTTCCACATGGCACAGACAGCTGATTCCACTCCAGCTTGTGGAAAGAGGCTGAGCCATACATGGTGGGGCTTTTCTCAGAGCGGCAACCACAAAGAAACCACAGTCCTCTGGCTCCCTGCTTGCACTCCCCCAGCCCCCTCACCAAGGGTCTGACTCACTCCTCTTCCTTTAAGACCTTTCAGAGGGACAGAAGGGGTGTGACAGGAAGAGAGAGTGTGTTTGTGTGTATTTGTGTATGTGTGTGTGGGGCGGAGAGACAGAGAAAGAGAGAAGCATCACAACAGAGCCAGAGAGGTGACTGGGATATGGAGGCTGGGCCCAGTTTTAAATATCTGCCAAGGAAAACCCAAAACACTATTGCTGGAGACAGATATGGCTGGAGTAGGGTGTGAGCAGCTGGGCACCTATTAGACCCCGTAAGACCCCAAGGTGCCTCCAGAGACATGGAAGGAAGGAAGTTTTCAGGGGTGGAGGGGATTTCTCTTTGCCATCACCTCCTGCCAGGTTCACATGCCCACCCTCCATGACACAGAGGCCAGGCCACCCCTTCCTTCCTCACTGCTCTCACTTCCCCTGGAACATGGTGTAACAGACTACAATTCCTGGTGAATCAGAAAGAGAAAAGAATCGATGTTTGGTTACATTCAAATTTTGGTAAGCGGCGTCTTTTCCAGTGAAAAGAACACTGGTGCCTTGTAGTCAGGAGAGACCCCTAGTCTCAAATCCTGCTTCTGACAGTGACTAGCTGGGTGACCCTGGGCAAGTTACTTAATCCGTCTGCCTCAGTTTCCTCAACTGTAAAATGGGAATCATAATAGCTCCTGCATCCCAGGCTTGCTGTGAGGATCAAATGAGGCAATATTTGTAAAGCACTTAGCACAGTGCCTGGCACATAGTTGGTGCTATATAAATTCATCTTCTCTTCCGTATAGTAGGCACTCAATAAATGCTTACTGAGTTGCTTCGGGTTGAAAGAGGAAGAGGAAAGATGACATAGACACACTTGAGATGAGAGCATGATAATAATGGGCCACAGTGGGGGAAGGGAGGAGCTAATTAATTCATTTTGCTTCTGTTTTCTCTTCCAAGAAAAATGATCTTTAAAGTGGGGAGAGTATAAAACAAAAAAGGATTAGCAAGGTATTGATATGCCAGATGTAAGGAAGTGAGTGGTAAGAGAACTTCTACCCACCCTCAATGAGTCTAGGACATCAGGCCCTCATGGACTGCCAACCAGGGTACTACAAAAACAAACAAAACAAAAAGACTGGTACACTTGATTGCTGACAATCAAGAGAGAGAGGTGACATAATAATACAGGTTATTTCCACCTACCTGTGTACTACCTACACAGGTAATAATCAGTGGAGCTGGGATTTGAACCCAGATCCTAGGACTTCAAAATCCAGTACTTCTTCCACTGTCCCAACCCACTCAAGCTCTAAGAAGGACACAGGCTATGACAACTGCTCACAAAAGTTCTTTTACTTGGGACTTTCAAGTAATTGTCCAGTATAATGAATAAGATCAGGTATTAGGTCTATTACTCAAATTTTAATGAAATTTGACCCCAAATATTTTAATATCCATTTTTAAAAGAAGAACCTTGTTTTCTAGCTTTGAAGATAACTACCATGGACTCCTTGAGTCTAAACTTCTGCAGGCAAAATATTCCTACTTTCTTCAGTAGCTCCCTGTGCAGCATGGTTTGGAGACCTCTGACCATCCTGGCTCCCCAGTTCTACATGTCCTCCAATTTAATCTCCTTCTGAAAACGAGCTACTTAGAATCAAACTTGATATTCTAGATTTGTTCTCACCAGGACAGCATACATAGGACCGTTACCTCCGTCCCTAGTGGACACGTCCCTATTAATTCAGTCTAATTAGCTTTTTTTAGCTGCCACGTCACACCGCTGACTCATACTGAGCTTGTGGTCTACTAAAATCCTCAGAACTTTTTCACATGACCAGCAATTACCTAGTCAAGAATCAGTGCCTCTATACTTGCACAGTTGATTTTTTGAACCCAGCCCAATTGTACATTCTCCCATTAGATTTCTCCCATCACTCTAGCCTGTCAGGGTCTCTTTGCTTCCTGATTCTGTGGTTGAATATGTTAACTGTCTCTTCCAGCTTTGGGTCATCTACAAATCTAATAAAGCATGCCATCTACACCCTCATTTTGAGACAAAAATGTTTAACAGAAAAGAGTCAAGCCTAGATTCCTGGGACATCCATTAGGTTGGAGTCAATTTATTAATCACCATTCTTTAAGTCCAGTCCATCAATTGGTTCTGAATCTATCTAACCTATATAATCTAGCCCAGAAGTGTCATAAACCTGGCTCACAACACTCCTGAGTGAAATGGGAACTAGATTAAAATGTAATTGGGAAATATCTGGCAAAATAAATAAAAATGCAATAAAGCATAGGTAATATTACATTTTAAAACTAAGTCAATATACAGCCAGCAGGGATCCTCATGTATGGATTAGTGCCTTCCCCCCCCTTCCCATCCCCACCCACTCCCCACTCCCATTTGAGTTTGACACCACCAATGTAGCCCACAGGTCTTTATCAACTCCACAAAAATATCATGAAGTTTATCTCAGCTTTGCCAAAATACAGATATAATACATCTATCTCCTTCTCCTGGTCCACTAGTTTCCAACCCTTTGAAAAAGGAAGTGAAGTTAACTCGGATGGACCAGCTCATGCTAGCTTTTACTGATTAACACTTTCCACTTTGCTTTGACAAACTACCCCTTTAACACGCTCCAGAACAGTGCCAGGAATGGTCAAGTCATTCCTCCTCATTGGGCGTCATCCTGTCAAATGAGAGGCTTGGATTAGATGACATCTGTGGTCCTTTCAATCTCATCTATAATCCTACGGTCTGAAGGGCTGTCACGTGAAAGAGGAAATTAATGTGTTCCATTTTGCCACAGAGGGCTGAATAAGCAAGCAGTAATGGGTAGAAGTTGTAGCTTCCTGTCCTGGGTGTTATAGAAGAGGTGCCTGCCCTGGTATGGATTGGACTAGATGACCCCTAAGAGCATGGGCCACGCTTCTGGGTTAACTAGGTAAAGACCCAGTACAAGAGCAGTTGGGGGAGAAAGGTCACTAATCAAAGCCAGCCTGCCTCCCTCCTCAGGCACAGAGCCAATCCATCCCTTGGCGGTTGGAAAGAGCAAAACCGTAGGAACATGAATGACTCCAAGAGACCCGTTTAATTCTTATTCTTGTCCCAACCCCCAAATCACCAGATTTACCCATTCTCTGGACATAGGTACCATTTCTCTCAGCTGCCTCCTTCTTTCTCTGCCCCTGGAGGACCCTTCTCCCACTGATGAGTTCTTCTAGGAACCTCCATTGGGAGGAAGGCCCAGGCCAACCACTCTTTATATTTGGGACATCACCACCATGCCCTCTGGAACAGGTACCTCCCCATCTCCTGTTTTTAACGTCCATTTTAGTGTCTTCTCCATTAGAATGAAAGCTCCTTCCAAGCAGAGACTGTTTTTATTTTTGCAAATATACCCAGCACTTAGTTTAGTGCCTAGCACATAATAAGCACTTATTCAACACTTGTTGACTTGACTTTACCCAAAAGCAGAGCAAGAAGTTGGAACATTATGATTTGAAGGACCCTGAGGAGCTCCCCCCTCCCAAATATAGACATATATATATATGTGTGTGTGTGTGTGTGTGTGTGTGTACATTATATATGCTATATATATAATATATATATATATATTTTATATGTGTGAATATATTTGTGTGTGTGTGTATATATCCCATTGGTGCCTGAAATTCCTCCATTAGGAATGCATTCTTTTGAATTAAACTTTTCCCTCTCCCTCTCTGTGGGCCTCATTTAAAATACAAATGTCCCCAGGAAGCATAACACCTCAAAATGCTAAGGCTTTAGTGTGAATGAGTGCACCTGATAATTTTAAGATTAAAAAAAGAGAGAGAGAGAAACCAAGCACTAGGCTAGGAGGGAATGGGGCAGGTTGGAGAGAAAGGCAGTGGTAGAAAGTCACCGAAGATAAAATCCTTTGACTGCCTCTACAATCCTTTGATTGCCAGGACCAATATTGCCTCCAGGACTGATTATATCCTTGGAGTGCCTTGGTTCTGGAGAACACTAGCCAGAAAATAACTGAATATGAACTCTTAAGAGCGGCTATCTCCCCTCTTCTCTTTGTATCCCCATCGATTAGCATGGTGTTTTGCACATAACAAAAGCTCTTCCCTTGGACCCCAGCTCTGCCTCAATTTCCCTAACAAGCACTAGGATTGGGACCTCCCAACCTACTATACTCTTCAACCCTTAGCACTACTTCTCCCATCCCCACCAAAGGTCCTCAAAGTCATGTCTCAGCCTTGCCATTGGCCATGAACTGCCCCTGCCCCTGCCCCACCAGCAAATTGTTACATTATGTATGCGTTTGTTGGTGGCCGGAGGTTTTTTTTTTCTTTGTGGGAGGGAAGGTAGAAGAGCAGAAGAAAAGACAGATACTGAGGGAGTCAAACAGATGCTCCTGCCTTTCTCAGACCCAGCAACTACAGTGGCCAGGTACGGAGACAGGAAGGCATCAAGATCTTGTTACAGGATTCAGTGGATTCAGAGATCAACCTTAAATGCATTCCAGTTTGCAATAGTTACAAAGGCCCAAGATCTCTCAGAAGTTTACCCAATAAAATTGGATCTATCAAGAGTTAGGGAATGGAGAAATAGGATTATACAGGATTACCCTTTCTCCACCTCCATCACCCCTACCTGCCACTGACACAGTGAGAGGGAAACTCTGAAGTGAAATGACCATTAAATGATTAGTCTTTCCTCGAATGTCCAGTTAATTGAGTACCTGATGGTTACCCTTCTATCTAATGGCAAGAGAGAAACCTTGGACATCCCTCCCTCACTCCCCTTTTACTGTTCATTTCAGGTTCCTGGTCCATCAGTGACTTCATAAAGCATTTCTGCCTGGGCACTTCTATGGCTGCCAGTCAATTCCTCACTCAGCACTACCGTGATTTTTAGCAAGACCTACAATCACCTGGAGAAAGTGTCAAATGACCAGGGACAGAACCAGGCTTGGGCTGCTCCTTTCCAAGCTCTATGTCAAAGGTACCAGCTCTTTGCCCAATCACCCTTTCCCCCTGCAAGGTCATCTCAATATTGGAGAACTTCAGGCTGTAGCCTCTAGGTTTGGAATCCCTTTCACACTGCACAAAATAAATAAAAATAACATCCTCAATTGCCTTCTAGTTTGAACTGTTGGCCTTGGCTCATCCTTCTTGCCGAAATCAGCAAGGAAAAAAAATCAGTGAGAGAAGACAGACTTGGAGGTTCTCTCAAAGGTAGGGGAGTAAGGGAGTGCTAAGCTGGGGAGCAAGAAATTGAGGTTCTAAATTCTGGCTTTATCATTAACTTGATCTGAGACCTTGAGCAAGTCATTCACCTTTTTCTGAAACTCAGCTTTATTACCTTTAAAACAAGAGGGTTCAATTAAAATAGGGGTTCTTGTGTTCTAGACCCCTTTGGCAACGTAGGGAAGCCTTTGTACCCCTTCTCAGAATCACATCTCAAGAGAATTAAAGGTAATGCTAAATTTCAGTTAGAGGTTCCTGAAAAGAAAGGTATTTTTTGCTCCCCCTTGAAATCTACCCAAGAACACTTTAGGGGTTCGAGGACCCCAGGTTAAGAACTCCTGAAGTAGATGGCTTTCAGTTTGGGCACTGAATGGGTTTCACTTACCTGATTAATCAGTCACACCCTCCCTTCCACTTAACATTCCTCTGGAGGCTTTCCCCTCGGAGTCCCTAAGGCTTCGCTACCCTACAGAGTCTGACTCATAACCTAGGAAAAAAAAGTCACTTCAGTTATCTCCCCCTGCACCTTTTTCGTCTCCCACCACTCCTCCCCTCTCTAGCTCCCAGCTCCTCGTCCTTGCTTCATTTTTCCTCCAAAAGTTAATAGTCCCCATCGCCACCCCATCCCCACCTTGGCACAGTCTTATGGCTAATGTTAATTTTCTCTTGTGTGCAAAGAGCATTGAAATCATCTGATGAAAGGTACTGCCACAGAACTCAGGATCATTACCTTCTTATCACACCCCACCTTAACTGAGCAGTAGAAATGACCCTGTCAGACTCTGGCCACCTCCCCCCTTCAGCACCCCCAAGCCAGGCTAGAGTTCACTACATAGGCCTTAAAAAAAAACATCCCCAGGGGCTCCAAAGGACAGACCCCAGAACTGGACAGAGTCAGAGACTCTCTTCTGAGGTCCCTTCTGTCTCTGAGGCTGTGTGATTACTGTATCCGAGACCAACGGGGGGGGGGGGGGGGGGGGGGGGGGGGGGGGGGGGCAAGAGGAAATACGGGTGGTAAAATCGGGTCCCACAGCACCCGGCAGCCCGCAATCTGAGTTAAAAAAAGCAAAAGGAAGTGACCGTTTACAATGTCATGGAAGGCAGCCGCAATGGGGACTGTTTTAGTGTGTCAACATCTCCCTACACATCACCCTCTCCCCCCTACTCCTCCCCCCTCCCCCCAGCACCAGGGTGTCATTGGCTGCTTGGGTGAGTGCCCCGAGAAATGAGAGAGGCTAAGCTTCCTGCACCGAATCCAGACACAGACAGATTTCCCTCTGGTGCTCTTCCTTCTTTGTGGTGAGGGTGTTTATTTGGGGGTGGGGTGCATCGGATGTTTATCCTTCAAGGAAATTATTGACTTTCTTTGCTTTTTTTTTCTTTGGTTTCTGCCCCCCACCCCCACCCCATTCTCTCTTGTATTCTGGAGTTTTGTATCAGTTTTAGGAGAAAACTCCTGATCCCGATTTCCACTCCGCCCTCAAAGGAAAAAAAATATTAACAATAAGAAAAACTGATCTATGGTGTGTATTCTGTGACTGGCTAAACCACACCCTTCTGAGGGGCTCTGGGAGATAAGGGTAGCAAACCTGGACTTCTGTGGGATACCTTTGGAAAGTTTCACCTCAGTCTCAGCTTTCCTACTGTAAAGTCCCTTCCCTCAGACATTCTCTGTATCTTCCTCTTACTGGGAGTAAGAAGATCATAAGCTACAAATTGCTTTGAGATCCCCAATAATAGGCCTACTGAAAAGAAATATAGGAGAATTACCACTCCTGGGCCAGGGATAAGGTGATGATGACCAGTTGGTAGAAGAGTCTGAAACTGAGCCATGTACTGGGAAACATACATGCACCCACCTGGCTACTTAAAGCAAACCCATCTCCCTCCACTAACACCCAGACAGAGTGAGTCAGATACTGGGGGAAATGGATGGCAGGAGCCCTGCCAAATCTTCTGCATCTCCCCTCCTTGTCCCATCCTGGCCCTAGGCCCTTTGTGACCATGGCAGGGACTACCCAGAAGAGAGCTGTCCCCATCACTGTCTCCTATCTTCTGGACATATTCTCCAGCTACTCCTTGCTCTTCTGCATACATCTGATCTTTCCCAGAGAACCACTGCTTCCAGATGAGTACTCTTTGGGAGGATGGAGACAAAATGTATGTGAGGGGAGAGAGAGAGAGAGAGAGAGAGAACAAGTCACTTTGGACAACTTCCATGTAAAAACAATAATAACAATGATGACTCCAGGTACAGAGGGAAGAAGGCCTGGTGTGCATACTAGGGTTCCTCTGAATTTCCAATGAGCTGTCAGCACCACACCTGTTTTTCCTTGCCCTTTGGGGTGGGGTCTGTTCAAGTGTGTGCGTGCGTGTGTGTGTGTGTGTGTGTGTGTGTGTGTGTGTGTGTGTGTGTGTGTCAGCCTGCCAAAGCAGGATTGAGGAGGATAAGGGCTAGGGGTGGGCCTGAGAAACTGATTGTTTGGAAATAGCGCAAGATTTGGAGTCTGAGAAATGGGTTCAAACCTCTGCTCTACTATTTACTGCCTTGTGACTTTGGACAAGTCTATTCATCTCTCTGAAACTTGATTCAATTAGACAATTAAACTGTACCTATTATGGGCAACACACCGCTCAAGGCATTGAAGATACAAAAAACAAAACTGTCCTTGTCCTCAAAGTTAATAATCTACTGGGGGTGGGGGAAGGGGAGGGGGTAGGAAAAGGCAGACTGTGCATGAAAATAAGCATGATACATGGAAAGTTTAGGAGGGAGGGAGCACTAATAATTGGGGGGATCAGAGAAGGTTTTGTGGAGGAGAGAGCACTTGAACTGAGCCTTGAAGGAAGACTCAGTTTCCTCATACTGGAGTGGGAGGATTGCAGTAGACATTCTCTAACATCCTTTCCAGCTGTAAATCCTTTGACTCTGGGTTAGCAGAAAGGGGCAGAGATCTCCACCAGATCAAGTCATGGGATTGGGGTAAGAGGCAGAGAGATTTGAGGGCTGTAGATGGACTCCCCCAGCTTCAATGGATTCTACCCAGCATCCCACTCCCCAAGTCAGATGAGGCAATAGAGACTTGGATCTACAAAGATCTACAGTTCCTTAGCAACTAACAAGCAACTCCCTATAAAGACAAAGACCCTTAGCTCAGAATTCTCCCTTCCCCCAGCCCCTCTGGGGGTGTGATCCTCGGCTCAGGAGTGGGGTGAGGGGTTGTTTCTCGTAGGGGCTGGCTCCCGGCCCACCTAGGAGGAGCCTGTCCTGATATTACCTGAAATTACCTAGTCCCCACCGGCACCTTTCATCCTGGCATCTCAAACAGTCGCTAATTAACTTTCCCATTTACACACCTGCAGGCACGGGCAGGCGAGGTCTCGCTCCCTTCTCTCTTGTCTGTCTCTGTCTCTTACACACACACACACACACACACACACACACACACACACACACACAAACACCCCAAATACCACTTCTCTGCCCTACTAGGAGGTTCACAAACACCATTTTACAGACTAGGAAGCTGAGGCTGAGGAGAGGAACTGACTACTTCAGGATTTAGAGGAGAACTTCTGGGCTGAGGAAGATGCAAGATGCCACAATTACTGAAGAGCAACGCAGGGGACAAAAGCCTGTAGCTATTAAGAGACTGACTAGAACACACACACACCCCCATCCCTCCTCCCCAGGTTTAGTGGTCAGAAGTCCCTTTGTCCCTGAATGCCAGTCACTGGGTCAGATTTAGTTACAGAATGCCAATGGCCCATTAAGGCATAAGCAATGGAGGGGGGAAAAAAGAGGTGAATGAATGGGAGAAGAAAGGAAAAGGTGAAAAGATAAAGGAGGATGAAAGACTTACTAGAATGGCTCGGTAGAAACAGTCTTCGACTGGAGTCTGCAGTAGGAGTTTTGAATTTCTGCTAGCCTAGTGGTACACCATAACCTTGGGTGGGTCCTTTTTCTTCTTTGGGCCTTAATTTTCTCATCTCTAAGACCAATTCAGCTGAACTAAAAGGTCCCTACAATCCCTTCCCTTCCCTTCTTTCTAAAATCCTTCTGTCCTAAGAGCACCAGCTCCTTTAGCTAGCTGAGAGCTGTGTGATCTTGACCCTCCCTCCACCCCTCTGGGTCTCAGATTGTTCCTTTGTGAAATGAAGGGCTTGGTTTCTAATGTCCTTTCCAGCTCTAAGACGGATTCCACGAGATGCACTGGGTGGGAGTGAGGGGTCACTGTGGCATCTTGGTCTTCTACAACCCATGACCTCCAGAAGCCCACCCTCCCTAAGGGGAGGGGAGAGGGCAGGGTGAAACAGAAACTCATAATGTACAGAACATGAAAAAGAATTGAGAACATTTGGCTTAAAAAAATCTCAGAATAGAAAATCCCACTTAGGAGGCCAGATCATAAGGCATAGGTTTGGGAAAAGGAGGTCTATCCCCCTGACATGCTGAAAGAGGAATGGAGAGCTCCAGGGGTCCCCCATTTGGACCTCAGTTACCTGGAGTCAGGTTTTTCCTACGGTGAGGGTAAAGATGAGAAAGAAGAGTTGACCTCTTTTCCTTCCTAGCAAACCATCTCACTGAGCAGGGAGCACTGGGTTAAACAAAGGAAGAGGAGTTGGGGCTATTTGTCTGGGGTCTGGTGAGCCTTTTAGAAGCTCACATTTCTACTAGACAGACAAGCTTGATTCCCACCCACCTTGGTACACCTACTGGGTTTAGCTTCACTTATAAAGTGAAAGTGGAAGCCTCAAAGACAGTAAGTTAGGAGTTTGCATTTCCTTTAGCAGAGAGATGAAACACACCCAACAATTGTGAAGTCCGGAAGTATATACTGAAGCCACCATAAATAGACCCAGATACACTGGCATTTCTGCACACACACTGGAGGCCTTGTA